GGGAAGACTTTCTATATCAGAAAAAACGGACCCAAGACATAAGGCCCTAACGGGGCACCCAGAAAACTGTGACTCCTGGCAAGTGGGTGCCAGGAATGCAGGTAGAGCTCCCAGGCTACAAGGCAAGTCAGTGACATGATGCAGACCGGGAAGTCCTTCTGAGTCCTGGTGACCACTGGACACAGGAATTCCACACAATGAGATGGGGATATGCCAATGTGGAAACGGGGAAAAGCTACCATCCACTCCCCAGTTAGTGTGAATCCTGCCACATAGTTGTGAAGCCAACACTCACAATGTGCCCCAGGGCAAAGCCCAAAGGCTTCCACAACTAATTCCATGAAGATCCCACAAGAGAAACATGCTCAGGACTAGGGAATAGTAGATACCACACTGCCTAAAACTAAAGAATATTTTAAAATACCTGTAAAGCAAATTAACCCTATGTTTTTAGTGTACCAAAGCCAGCAACTGTTTAAACACTTTAGATCCTATTTAATCCTCAAAACAACCCTCCTCGAGGGACCACTAGGATCTCCATTTTACAGGCACCAGGAGTCAATATAGAAGTCTGCACATGTTAAGGGACAAAGGGGACAAGCAATAAAGTGTAAAAGCTCATCTTTAAATGCAGTACCTACTCAGTATAGCCGATATTCATGTAACAGGGAGAGACTTTTCAAGCACCTGCTTTTATCAGTGTCGCCTCCTGAGCATTACTTCCTCCGTTTTTAACATATGGGGAAACTGAAGACAGAGAGGTAAAGGAACTTGCCCAACCTCTAAGCAGAGGGAGTCTGTGGCTTGTATTGAAGCTGTAGGAAAGTGGATCCCTCTGCCCAGACACCCCCGTCCCCGCACACCAGCTGTCCAAGGCAGCTCATGCCCCAGCAGCTGATCTATTTTTCAGTCTCTAGAATGGGTGCAGGGTGGAGGGTTTTTCCCTCCACTACAGTGAATCTGACTAACCGACAGCGGGTGTCCCCACTCAAAACCACTCTCCACCTTGTGTCAAGGATGCTCTTCGTTCACCGTCAAGGGCGGTGTTAACCCCTGGCTTAAACACCTTGGAGGGGTCCCCTCCCCGACGCCGCAGGCGCTCAGTGCGGGACGCCCGGCGGGTCTGACTCAGAAGGGCTTTGCTGCCTAATGTCCGGGCCCACCCAGATCCCGGCCCGCCCCTCCGTCCCCTGCAAGCCTGACGCTAACAATTCGCAAGAGACGCTTCTTCCCTGGGGCCCCCTGCCTTAAAGGAGGAGAAGAAAGGGCGCCTAAGCACTTCCACTCGCCTCTCCCGCTCCTCTCTCCAGGCCGGCGAGGAAAGCTGGCCCGCGGGGCTGGACGGGGAACGTCGCAGCCGCAGGTGCGGCCCCAGCCGCCCGCCCCGCTCCCGCCCCCGCCGCCGCCG